TAACTGATGGATGGATGTGAGTTACACCACCTGCCAAGCAACATCACCAGGGACAGCGCTGCATTTGGCAAACACATCAATCAAAGCAAACTTTAATAAAATTAAATGTGAAGTACATATGTAAACTGGCCTACCAAATAACCGTTTAAGGAGTCCTATCCTCTGTGATAACATCACAGTTTGTGTGCACACAGTCTGGTCACCATGTTGGACAAGCTCTAGTGGGTGAACATAGATGCAACAACCATAAGTGTTCAATCAACCATAATAATCAACATTTCTTAAGTGTTTATTGCTCAACTGAGGCTGACAGAAAGCCATACTTCAGAATCCTAACTAGCATAACTAAACCTATCTTAACCAACCAATAAATCTACGAACTGACCACATGAAAAAAAAAACTCCAGAGACTGATTAATTTTTGGCCAGCCTATCAACTGCAAACCTCTTGCTCTGATCAATTAGTTAGGGTTCGACGTGAGTAAAGAGCTGGATTTATGTATGTATGGTCACTGAGGAAGAATGTTTAAGGATACTCAGAGAAGACATGAAGGTTAGGAGCTCAGATAGGTCATACTTGGAGTCTGTAAAGGCTTTGGGGAGGATTAAAAAAACTATTGAAGGTAGAGCAGGTCCAACCAAACTAAACGTTAGATAGAGCAGGGAGGTTGGGTTAGTGTAAGGTTTTCTTTGAGYAAGTGGTCAGTAGATTCCAATAAGTCTAAGACTTCAGCCCACAGAATGAGGCTCCTGGAGGTCCACATAACCGAGAAGCATGCTTTCATGAAATTCAAAGAAAACTGCATTGGCAGAGGTATTTTTGTAATAATTTACAGTAAGCTTTGAATGTTTAAAGATGATGAACAAGGAAAAGATACAGTGGTTGGCGCTGTTTTATCAAATCAAATCAAAATCAGTGAATACATTTTATGTACCAAAGGTCTATGTTTTAGTGCTGCAAAAATTATTCGAAATAATCAATTATGTTGAATACAAAAAATAGTATACAGAATTTTATTATTGAATAAAATAAAAAAGTGTTATTTACCTACGTAAATATTCATTTGTATCTGCAATGAACTACACAAACTGCTGGAGGCAGAATCACGTCTGTTGTGTCATTGTTTATTATGGAAGAAGAAGTGCCCGCCTGCTTATTAACCACAGAAGAAGATGCAGCGGGCACATCAAAGAGCAATAATAATGGTGGAACGCAGAGACGGTCATGTTGAAGAGGCTAAAAAAAACAAGACCTAAACAAAACAAAAGTTGCTACATTTTAGCAAAAATAAACCAACCACTTTGTGCTGTAACTGTTTATGACTTATGTTAGTTTACCTATCAGAAAACAATGTGTTTCAGTTATGCTAACGTTAGCTACAGGATTAAGTGTCATTATAACAAATCACTGAACTAAAGTAATAATCCATCCTATCCTGTTAGTTTTATTACTTTATTTATTCATTTAAGTCTTATTCAACAAAGAAAGACAACTTGCAGTTTAGTTTGTATTTAATTTCATGTATTAATGTTAGAAATACAGTACATACACTTAGGTTTTATGGGTCATTGTTTTAATTTGCTACGGGAACTTACTGTATGTTAAGCTAGAGACCGGATAACAGAGTGACATTCTCTTTTTTTTTGTCACTTCAGTAGAAAACGAAACTAAATATTAGTTTATTTAGTTTATTTATTTCTTCATCATCAGTGACTTTTTTAAGTGAAGAGAAAATAGAGACAGAGAGAGAAGTAATTAGAAAGATAGAAAGATTGAAATAGCGATTAGACATATATTAAATATACACCAACAAAACACAGGACCACACACCCAACATCCGTTCRCTCACCTRAAAAATAAATGGATAAATACATGGAGGGCATATACTGTATAAAAATGCACACATACCCATACATATATGAAGATATACATACATACATGCCTACATTCATAAATATTGTC